TCTCCCTGTATTTCTTTTTTCAGTGTTTGCTACATATATTTTCAAGCTCTGACATTTGATGTATATCTGATTATTGTCTTGGTGAACTGCCCCTTTTATCAATATATGCCCTTCTTTATTTCCTTTAACAGCTTTTGACTTAAAGTCTGTTTTGGCTGATATTACTGTAGCCTCTTTGGTTAATAGTTGCACAAGATATCTTTTCACTTTCAACCTACTTATGTCTTTAGACCTAAAGTGAATCTCTTATAAACAAGATATAGTTGGATCATTTTTTTATATGCATTTGGCCAGTCTGTGCCTTTTGAATGGGGAGATTAATCCATTTACACTGAAAGTGATTATAGCCTGGCTGGTGTGGCTCAGTGGTTGGGCATCGGCCCATGCACCAAGAGGTCGCCAATTTGATTCCCAGTCAGGGCACATGCCCAGGTTGTGAGCCTGATCCCCAGTGGGGGGCATGCAGGAGGCGGCCAGTCCATGTTCTGTCTCATCGATGTTTGTCTCTCTCTCTCCCTCTCTCTAAAATCAATTAAAGGGGAAAAAAAAAAAGTGATTATAGGCATACCTAGGAGATGCTGTAGGTTTGGTTCCAGACCACTGCAATAAAGCAAATATTGCAGTAATGTGAGTCATATGAATTGTTTGGTTTCCCAATGTATGTAAGTTTTTTTTAATGTAGTGTATTAAGTGTGCAATATAGCATTATGTCTACAAAATAATGTACATGCCTTAGTTTAAAAAATATATTGCTAAAAATGATAATCATCATCTGAGCCTTCAGTAAGTCATAATAATTTTGTGGTGGAGGGTCTTGCCTTGATATTGATGAAATCACATAATCTGTTAAATGCAATTAAATGAAGTAGGTATACCTGTATTGTTAACGACGGACTTATAGGAAACAAAATGACAAAAGTTTGCCTTGTAGCTTTTTTGTCCCTCATTTCTTCTGTTAGATTTTCTTGGTTGTGTTTTCTGGTGACATGTTTGAATTTCTTCTCATTCCATATTATTTATGTTCTACATATAGCTGTTTTATCGGTGGTTATTATGGGGGGTTATATAACATCCTAAAGTTGTCAAAGTCTAATTGGAATTTATACCAGCTTAATTTCAACTGCATATTAAAAACTCCTATACCGCTGTTTCTCCAACTTTATTGTTTTCACAAATTATCTCTTTAAACATCGTTGACTTGCTAACATAGATTTATAGTTTTTTACGAATGTCTTTTGAATTCTATTTACAAATCAGAACTGCAGCGCTGGCTTTGAAATTTGCCCTTTACTGGAGGTTTTTATAGTCCTTCAATTTTAACTTGAAGGACTCCCTTAAGCATTTTCTTGTAGGTCAGGTCTAACTGACCATGAACTTCCTTGGCTTTTGTTTACCTAGTTTTTGGAGGCTATTTTTCTTGGATATAGAATCCTTGGTTGAGTTTTCATCCCTCTGATTTCTGGTCTCCAAAGTTTCCACAGATGAATCAGCTTATATCTTATTGAGGATAAGTCACTTCTGGCTGCTTTCAAGACTTGGTTTTTGACATTTGTCTCTTGGGTCTTAGTGTGGGTCTTTTTGAGTTCATTATACTTGGGGCTTCTTGGATTTGTAGATTCATGTCTTTTATCAAATTGGGAAGTTGTTGACAATCATTTCCTCAAATAATCCCTCTGTCCCTTTTTTCTCTCTTCTCTTTTGAGGACTCCCATGTGTCCCACAGGTCTCTCAGTCTCCGATCACTGATTTTTCTGTCTGCTGTGGAATCCCTTGTGTGATTTTTTCATTTGTTTTATTTTTCAGCTCCAGAATTTCTTTTTGGTTCTTTCTATAATTTTTATCTCTGTCCACATCATTTTCCTGATATCCTTTAGTTATTTGTGTTTTCTTTTAGTTCTTAGAACATATTTAAGTCATGCCCTGGCCAGTATGGCTCTGTGGTTAAAGCGTCAGCCTGTGCACCGGGGAGGGTCAGGGGTTTGATTCTCGGTCAAGGCCATGTACCTGGGTTTCAGGTTTGATCTCTGGCCCTGGTCAGGGCACATACAGGAGGCAATCCATGAATGTGTCTCTTTCACATCAATGTTTCTCTCTCCCTCCCCCCCACTCTAATAGTTCTCTCTCTGGTCAATGTTTCTCTCCCTGTCCCTGCCTCGCTCTCTAAAATCAATAAAAATATATTTAAAAATGAGTAAATAGTCTCCCAGCGTCTGGGCTTCTCTCAGGGTGACTGTCAGTTTTTGCCTTCAAAAAGTCAGTGTTTTCCTGTTTCTTTGTATGCCTTGTAATTTTTTATTGAAAAATGGGCTTTTGGGTGGGGGAGATGCCTCTGTCAGTTGTTTGCAGACTCTCTGCACTGGGGCAGACCTTCACGAATAGCTGGGCATACTGAGTGAGCCTAGGGAGCAGCCTGAGGTGCGTCTTGCCAAGGAGGCATGTATATGGCTGCTGTTAAATGCCTTTAGTCCCTAGAGTCTCATCCCAGCTTCTCCCCAAAGCCTTATATGGTCTGTTCTTTGTGTCTGCCCATAACCTCTTGCCCCAAACTTCGGAGTGTTTAAGCCCCTGCAGTTTTCATGGGCAGTGCCCGCTTTCCCACCTGCAGTCTGAGGTAGGCAGAATGGAGACCAGTCTTCTGGCAACCCCCAGCCAGGTTGGAACGTTGCAGAGGTCGGCCTGCTCTTTGTAACCATGCTGGGGGTCGAGGGTGGGTGGGTTGGTGCACAAGGCAAGAGAAAATGCCCCAACACTAGTGCTACCAGCTTGAGGGTGCTTTTGTTCTTGGTGTCCACTTGGTTACTGTAAACCTGTTTTCCAGAACTCCTGTAAGGTTAATCCAGTTTCTGGATGCTCTTTCAACATTTCGGGAGATGAGCTTGGACCTTCCTTAGTCTGAGATTTTGCTGACATCACCCAAGCCCTTGTGCTCTATTTTTTTCAATATATATATATTTTTTTTATCCTCACCCGAGGATACTTTTCCATTTTTTGTACAGATAGAATGGGAGGGTGAGAGAGGAAGGGAGAGAGAGAGAGAAACATCGACGTGAAGGGACACATCGAGTGGCTGCCACCCGCACGACCAACCAGGGCCGGGGACAAACTGCAACCGAAGTACGTGCCCTTAGCGGGAACCGAACCCGGGTCTCTCTGGACCGCAGGCCGACGCTCTAACCGCTGAGCCAAACTGGGCAGGGCGGTCTATATTTTTTATTGATTTTTTTTTTTTAAAGGAGAAACATCGATGTGATAGAGAAACATTGATGGGCTGCCTCCTGCACACTCCCCACTGGGGATTGAGCCCACAACCCAGGCATGTGCACTGACCGGGAATTGAACCAGGACCTCAGTCCATGGGACCACACTCAATCCACTGAGCCCCATCAGCCTGGCTTGTGCTCTATTTTTAAAGTTTAAACCAACCTGACTTTTTTCTGAATAGCCCGTTTTGTGAGTTTGGCTTTTCTGCCTGGTCTGTTTCCACACGCTGCCCTAACTAGACTCAGCATGTTGCATTTCCCTCCTAGGGCCTGCGCATCTCTTCAGACTCTCTGGCAAGTGCTTCAGCCTGGTGGAGTCCACGTGAGTGAGGGGAGGGGTGGCAGGGGTGGGGGCTGGGAACACCTCTGACAGCTGCTGTACCCCCAGGTACAAATACGAGTTCTGCCCATTCCACAACGTGACCCAGCATGAGCAGACCTTCCGCTGGAATGCCTACAGTGGGATCCTCGGGTGAGCTGGGGATGGAGACAGGGAAGCAGCTGCATCTTCTTGGAGGTACCCCCCAACCCAGCTTGATGCTGTTTCTCCCCAGCATCTGGCACGAGTGGGAAATCACCAATAACACCTTCAGGGGCATGTGGATGAGGGACGGTGACTCCTGCCACTCCCGGAGCCGGCAGAGCAAGGTGGGACTGTGTAGGATGGGGCCTGGAGGGGGCTCTGCTTCAGCCCCCCACCAACCAAAGCTTTCCCCAGGTGGAGCTTACCTGTGGAAAAAGCAACCGATTGGCTCATGTGTCTGAGCCAAGCACCTGTGTCTATGCGCTAACCTTCGAGACACCCCTTGTCTGCCACCCCCACTCCTTGTTAGGTAGGATGCTGGGGTTGTGGGGGGTTGGGGTAGAGGGGCTCAGTTAAGTCTGGGTTCTCTCGGATCTTAGTGTACCCGGCCCTGCCCATGGCTCTGCAGCAGAGATGGGACCAGGTGGAGCAGGACCTGGCGGATGAGCTCATCACTCCCCAGGTGAGATGCTGTGGTGGGCACCCCCTTTGGCTGGATGCAGCACAGGAGGAATGGGGTGTTCCCTCTTTGTCTTTGACCCACAGGGCTATGAGAAGCTGCTCAGAACACTTTTTGAGGATGCCGGCTATTTAAAGACCCCAGAAGAAAGTGAATCCACACAGCAGGAAGGCGGTGCTCAGGGTCTGGTGTTTGAGAACTTGGAGAGCTGCAACAAGGTACAGAGCGGGGGCTGAGTTCCCTAGACACAAGCTTCCCACCAAGGGGCCTGACTTGCCCTTTGAACTTCTCTGTTCCAGGCACATAAAGAACTGTCAAAGGAGATTAAAAGACTTAAAAGTGTGCTGACTGAACATGGCATCCCCTACACCAGGCCTGTGGGTAAGTCATGCCTGGGGAGGGGGCCAAGCCCACCTTGGAACCTGCTGCCTGTGAGCCAGATCCTGACCTGTCACCTCCTGGTGTTTTGGCAGAAACTTCCAGCTCTGAGCACTTGGGCTCCAAGACACCCACAGGCAGGACAGCAGAGCAGCTACGTGGCAACCCAGGGTTGCTTGGGAACACCTTATGACCTGAGATGGGGCTGAAGACAGAAGCAGGCTGTGGCATCCTATAGCAGGAAGGAGCAGCAGGCTGGGTGCTCGGTGCACGGCGAGCAGTCCTAGGAAAAACACACTACAGGCAGAAGAGGCTCCTCCTCTGGGCCTCCCAGGCCAGGGCTCTCAGGATTGTACTCAAGAATGTTGACAAATAAAGATTCAAAGTTTTAATTCCATACTGATAAAAATAATTCCATGAATTCTGTAAACCATTGCATAAATGCTATAGTGTAAAAAAATTTAAACAAGTGTTAACAACTTTAAACAATTCACTACAAGTAAATGATTATGCATTATAAATACTACTTTCTGGGTTAAGAAAATTCCATTCCAAGAACATTCTCATCTAAATACTCAGAACAAACATACAGATCGGGGGCTTCCATAAATTAGTCCACATGAAGCGTTGAGGTCTGCTGATCATGACACGAGTAGTGTGACAGTAATATCACCGCTAATATTGAACACAAGCTGAGACACAGCACCACGTGGCTATCACTGCTCCACCCAGCACGGCCCTCTCCTCACCACAGGTGGGACAGCGAAACCCCCGTGAGGCCTGCAGAGGGTGGCTCCCTCAGGAGACCAGGGCCACTGCAGGGGTGGGGAGGACCCCAAGGAGCAGCACCCCAGGAGCACACTACAGTGATGGCCCCAACAATGCCTGGGCACCCTGGGAGTTCCATTCTGGACGGTTCTTTGGCCTTCCCACCCCATGTCTGTTCTCGGCCAGTCCTGACCTGAGCCGGGTGAGTGCTCGAGGGCCGCGCCCCACCCCAGCTGGTACCCCGTAAGCACTACACCCCCGGCCCCCACTCCACAGAACTCACCAGAGTAGCTTATAAATAGACCTAAAGCTTAATTGTTCCTAATTGTTTATAATCTGAAAATGTCTAGACTAGATATCAGTAATAAACACTGTCCTGTTATCCCAAAATGGCCAAAGGCCTGAAGTGGGAAACAAGTGCATAAATATTAATAAAAATAATTTTAAACAGTGATAACAGTAGCACAAAATATACGTAATTTCTAAGAGCTAATAAATCATTATCACTATAATTAAAAACAAAGATTCACTAAAACCAAGTCAATAGTTAACCTTTAGTAGCGCACTAGCCGTGGAATGTCATGGATCCACCTTTAAAAATGACAACTTATTATCCGTTTGTCTTATGTTAAAAAATGGTTTAAACTTCTTACTATAGTAAATACATTCTAATTTGGTCACTGATAAAAATTTTTACCTAGTCACTTTGCATTTTAAAAATGCTCTTAAAAGTCTTTGGCAAAGCCCCAGGCAAGTAGAAACACGGCAGTGTTCACTTCCAGGCCAGAGGCCCAGTACCTGCTCCCGCCCCGTGGCGGGCTCTGTAGATTTTCTCACAGCAATCTAGATCAGCTTCACTGAGAGCAAAGTTGGGGTAAACAACAGACATCTTTTACTTCTTCCCACATTTCTAGAAAAATGACCCACTGCAGACCAGAAAAGATTGGTTATCACTAAAATCAGACCCATTCTCAGGAGCGTTCCTGCTGTGGCCCTGAAGCCAGGCTGCCACTTGGGGGCCAAGGGACCAGCAGCAGAGCCAGGTCCTCACGGAATGACAGATAATACCTGGATGTACAGCTCAGACGACAGGGTTAGAAGTGTCCCTGAAGTCACACATGCCGCAGACTAATGAGCCTGTCCCACTGCAGCAGGAGCCCAGGAGGCCCCAGGCGTGGGGAGTGACTGGGGGCCAGCCGGGATTCCCAACAGCCGGCTCCAGGAAGGTGGGAGACTACTGCCCATCAGACTCTGTAAAATGAAATGTACCCCCCTTGGTTGCACTTTTCACTAGTATCAAATTGTCTTACAAAGTTCATGGGAGAAAATAAAACCAAATGAACCATTCCCTTCACTTCTTTTGCAAGGCACAGGCACTTAGAAACAGCGGCCATGGGTCAGAGATGTGTGACTGAGCTCCCCCATCTCACGGTGTTGGGAAATAAAACTCCAATTAGTGTGCGCGTGCACATGATTAGGACAGTTCTTTTCATAAAATTAAAAACATCTAAATGTATGTCTTTCAATAATCACTCTGCTATAAATACTATTTGTTTGCACTTACTTAATTTAAAACCTATAAAAATCCTAGGCATTTCTCACTACTAGATAAATGCTCATTTCATAAGTACTAATTTCAGAATATGAAATCTAATATATTTAACATACTATGAATTAACAATAGACTGATAGGAAATATTTTAAGTTCACAGTACACATACAAAGCTTCATCTTGCATATTAAAAAAACATGAACCTAGAAAGCAGCTTATAGCAACTGAGACTGTCCATGTAAATTCCTCGGTTTACAAAGTGCTTGGCTGGGACACGAACTCCCAGGATATGGTCACAGTAGTGTCAGGACTGCAAACCCCATGTCATTACTGTGCCCACCCAAACCCTGGGCTGCAGGCAGGTAGGTGCTGTAAGTTTGCCTTTAAGGTCTACGAGGAGAATACCATGAAACTGGGTGCAGCTAGGGCTGGGGTCCCGACGTCGGTGGCACCAGGAAGTGAGGCCACCGTGGCTGCTGTCACCACTGAAGGGGCTGGCCCTCACAGTAGGGGCACTCCGGCGCACTGGCCACGCAGGGCTCACAGAGCACACGATGCTGGCAGGGCTGCAGGACGGTGCCACGGGCCTGCTCTCCGCACACCACGCACTGTTTCGCTCGGAGCTGGAAGATCACCTGCGGGTGGGATAAGTTGGTAGGCCACGGAAGGCCCCTCCCCACCACTGGCCCCCAGCTTGCCCAGAGGTGACTCGAGAACATGTGAAGACAGTGGCTCCCTGGCTAGCGCAAGGTCAGGGCTGGGGTGGGACAGCTGTGTCGGGGTCACTCGAGGGATGCAGAGATGGAGGTTAAAGCTGCTTTTCCACAAGACCCTTGGGTGGGGGACTGGCTCCCGGGTAGCAAGCCTGCGTGGGAAGGACCCGGCCAGGATGCAGGCCTGTGGCTGGTGGCTCGTGAGTGCCAAGACTTGGGCTTGGTGGGACCCTGACCTGAGCCAGTCCTCTAGCCAGGGGAACAGCCACCGCCCAGGGACAGTGCCTCGGGAGTGAAGCAGGCAGGTGTGCTCACTGCAGCCAGAGCTTGGCCACAGTCGGCGGAGCTGGGGAGAGCGCCGAGAGGCAGGGCCGTACGCCTTTCTAGGCGCTCTAACAACATGCCCTGGTGTGAGAGGAGTTTCTAGTTGAGCTGAACACTGGGTTTGTTGCTACTCCAGAAAAAATAAATCAGGCAAGGAGGTGACCAGTGAGTGACCTTGGAGGGTGACATCAGTGACATACCTCAGACATACACCATGATTCCAACTGTGTGGGGCAAGAGGGGCGTCCATTCTATCCATGAGGGCACAGGAGGGGACCGTAGAAGGTTCCAGAAAGGAAGGGCAGGGCCAGCCTGGCAGGAGAGGTGGTGCACACACACCCAGGGCAGAGAGAGAGCTGCCACCAGGGCAGTCAGATGAGAAGGACCGCACAGGACGGGGGAGTGTTAGGCCAAGTCCCAGTCATCACCTCTCCCGTACACACTGGGCCAGGGACAGACATCAGGTACCTTGGAAACCGAAACTGAAACCAAGACTCACCCCATCCACCGCCTCCAAATCCAGGCGCAGCTGACTCTGCAGCGAATGCAGCTTGGGCAGCGAGATGGCACCGATGTCGCCGCAGCCCCGCAGCCCGGGGAGTGTGGACATGCCTCGGCCTTCCAACTCCTCCTGCAGCTGCCTGAACTGGGCCTCCACCTCCTCCTTCTTCTGCAGGGCCAGCTGCCGGGCACTGTCGGCCGCTAGTGCACGCTCCTTCGCCTCCTTGGCCTCCCGCTGCCATGCGTCACAGGCCTGAAACCCAGGGTGCTGCAGTGGTTGGCATGGGGAGAGGGCACCCTGCATGCGCACTGGTCTCCCCTGAGCCTTGGCACCTCCCCAGAACTCACCTGCTTCACTTGCTGCCAGGACTCCTCCCACTGCCTGATCTTCCTCTTGGCCTCGTCCAGCTGCCGCCTGACCCGTGCCAGCTCGGCGCCATTTGGACTTGCACTTGCAGTGGATGTGGGGCCAGCGTTCAGAATGGGGGAAGGGCTGGGAGAGAAGCTGCCAGAAACAAAGTCCCAGATGCTCCCAGGTACACTGTTCAAACCTGAGTGGGGAGAAGACAGATGTCAGCCCCAAGGGTGCAGACATCTCCCAGGCAGGCCCTGGGACCGCTGGAGCTCCGCTGACACAGCCGCTGCCCCTGATCTTCCTACCAGACCCCCTTCCAGCCACCGGTGGGGTTTAAACAAAGGAAATGGATTCCAAGTTTCTGACTGACGGGTGGAGCAGCACTTCTCAGAGTCTGGTCCCAGAAGTCCTTTACACACGGAGGGTCTTGAGACCCCCAAAGAGCTTTGGTTTAAAGAGCTTCACCCATAGAAAAAGTGATGTGTCACTTAACCAGTACAGCCAACTACGCACCGGGCCGCACGGTGCGGCTTATGGCTGCCGGGCTACCAGCCTGCAAGCGTGTGTACTGAACACTGCGGGCAACTTAACAGTGGTAGGTGTTTGTGTATCTAGACATAGAAAAGGTACAGTAAAACCACAGAACGAAAGGTAACAAGCTACACTGCATGGGCACTCCCCATGCGTGGGCCTGCAGGACTAGAAGTTGCTTTGGGTGAGCGGTGAGGGAGGGACGTGAGGGCCCAGCACATGTCGTCCACTGCAGTGGACTCTAAGCACCGGCCCACTTGCCCTCCTACTTCTCGGACAGGGTCAGAAATAGGGAGTGAAAGGTGGCCTGAGGACCAGTAAGAATATAAGTGAAGATGGAAAGGAACACAGCGCTGTCAGGCCATGTGGTTTCAGCTACTGTGCGTTGGAGCAGTGGTCAGGTTAAGGGACTTCGTGGTATTCACTCAGAGCATGTTTATTAACACCGAGAGGGTGCAGAACCGAGGGCTCAATATTCTGACTGGGGATCTGGTTCCATTGACCCGTCTGGCACAAAGGGCTCAAACTGGCATTGAATTAAGAAAGGACAAAAACAAAAAACTTATCTGTGCTTTACATCATTACAACATGAAAACAGTTCCAAAGTACAGGGACAGGCTGCCTCCACAGCACCACAGCAAGCTTTTCTAAAGTGGCAGTGGCACTGAGCACTTGTTAGGGCCACTCCTGTGGACCAGTGTCCTTATCCAGGCTCTCGGGTCTTCAACAAGAACGTGCAGCAATGTTCTCTGAAGACCACCACGCCACACCTGCAGGGCAGTGGCGCCCTCTGTGCTGACACAGGTCAGTGCCCGACTGGAAGGTAACCGCACTCTAAATGGAGGGGCTACGAGATGAGATCTACTGCCAAGCCCCACAGACACTGCTCCCACCACAGATCCTTCCATTTCTTACGGAACATTCAGCTCCAGTATAATCTTACAGGCTACCGTCATATGCAGCCGGCCGCTGACCAGAAAGTCATTACATGGTGCATGACCATTTAGGAATTAAACAGATATTTTAAAATACTAATTCTTTTAAAGTACAACAGGTTACATAAAATAACATTTTTCAATGAAAGAATAAGTAAAACAATAAATGGCACTGTTCCCTGTTTCTGCAAATCCGCCTGCTCCTGTGTTGGGTCTCTGGTGACACTGCGCCTGCGCAGCCTCAGAAGCTCCACTGCATGTGGGTGAGCAAGGTGGGTCATGCTGCAGTGTTGTCACGTTGTGTCCCGGGCACACCGAGACCCTGACAGAGGTTGATCAGCAAACCCCTGTCTGAGCCCCAGGACACACCAGCAACCAGTAGAGACGTGGACAGGAGGTTGCTGGGATAGATGCCAAGGCTCACACCACAGGGAGTGTGCAAGGCAGCACGGTGGAGCCCTAAATGGGAGGGCACCCAAGTGGGGACAGCCACCCACACCTCAGTTTATTCAACAATAAACTGTCACTATAGGGCAGCCCCTCCCCCACAAGCCCCAGCTCACCTAGGGAGTTGTAGGACGAGGTCGAGGAGCCCAGCACCCTGGGCTCCGACTTGAGGGGTGGCGGCTGCTGGGGGGGCGTCATGGCCGAGGAGACAAGAGGCCCCGACAGGGACTGGGAGAGCGAGCTGAGCGGGGAGGTGGACAGGGATGACGAGGAGTGCAGGGATGGGGAGCGGGCCAGGCAGCCCGGAATGGTGACGGGCTCTGAGCCCCCCAGCGACCTCTGACCTGCGCAGAGTGGAGGGGCCGAGTTAGTGAGAGGAGGCAGAAGCCCTCTGCCCGGGAAACGGCACAGCACTGCTCCGAGCTGGGGTGTAGCAGCCAGGGCAGGGGGTAGGATGGAGAATGCCAGGGTTCCCAGGCCTGCAGCAACCAGGTGGAGGTGCAGAGACAGAGCTCCCCAGGCTGAGACGTGGAAACAACCCTCAGACTCTCAGACGAGCGGCATATGCACAGGACAAGGGTTTCAGCGGGGGTCCTGCAGAGGCCAGACACCCACTAGGCCTTGCCAGCCAACCTACTGCCTGGCAGGTGGTCCCAGTATTTTTAGGGCCCCCCAGAAATGGATTAACTTGTTTTAACATCAGGAGAAAAAAAGAAGCTTTAACTTGTTTTAACATCAGGAGAAAAAAAGAAGCTTTTCGGTAGAAAAAAATGATTTGGTGTATGTTTACATATCTGGCTTCATGCCAATGCAGCAGTTAAAACATTTCAGAAGGCCCTGGTTGGTTTGGCTCAGCAGTTAGAGCATCGGTCCGCAGACCAGAGTCTCGGGTTCGATTCCAGTCAAGAGCATGTACCTCAGTTGCAGTTCGGTCCCTAGCCCTGGTCAGGGTTGTGTGGGAGGCAACGAGTCAATGTGTCTCTCTCACCCCTCCCCCACTCTATCTGAAGATAAACGGAAAAGTATCCTTGGGTGAGGATTAAAGACAAAAAAGTTTTCAGAAGGCCATGAGGCTGGCCATCCCTGTCCCCATCCTCTACAGCCCCACACCCCATCTCTGCAGGGGCCACCCTGCTCAGAGGGAGGTAAACTGAGGAGGTGGGAGGTTGACGCTGCCACAGCTACGAGGGCCTGGGGGAGGGGAGGGGAGCTCTCCCACCTTAGAACCACTTAAGGAGTCTCAAAAGGAAAGGCCCAGCCAGCCCCAGCCACCCCAACAAGAGTGCCAGGTGTCATCATTCTTACCTGCGGGTCCCAGGTCACTTCCGTCCTGCTCGTCCAGCTCCTTGTCCAGTGGAGCAAGGCTTACGTCGCTCAGATGGAGATCTAAGGCAGAACCTGTCCAACAAGACACTGTGTTATTGCTCAGAGACACGAGAGCTGCAGCAGGGAGAATGCCCAGCTCTTGGGAGCAAGGACATGGCCTCAGCTGGGGGCGAGGGACACACCCTCTGCCCACCTTCCCCAGCCAGACTCACTCTCTCCTCCCTCAGAAACACAGCCTCGAGGCACCCCACGTGTGGCCCCTGAAGCATGGCCTCACCTCACTGACTCGGCTTCTGCATTTAGATTTCTAATCACTGGGTGACATTTGACCAACTGAACATAATTAAGTAGTAAAAAGATTCCAAGAGGGCGCTGGAAAGCGGTTCACAGGCAAATGTGAAGTTGCATTCACACTGACACAGGGACCACTGACCTCTACACCGAGGTCACAGTGGGGAGACCCACACCCTGTTCTCCCCACCTTGCCCTCAGAAGGGTCCCTCCCATGTCCCTTCTGTCCCACCGAGGATGCCAGTACACCCAGGCACATCTGCTAACGAAACGGGGATGAACGGTGGGCCCCTCGGAGCTGGCCCCCACCTCCCAAAGCTTTCCTCAGAAACCCTCTACTGCAGGCAGGACATGAGGGAGCAGCACCCACCACTTGGCACAGAGCAGGAAGCTGTCTTGGGGTGGCCAAGGGCAGGCCCACATGTCCCCAAAGCTGGAGCACCACTCATGAGTTCCGGAGGTACCACAGGACCAGCTCAGGAATGTGTGGCCCCAGGACCTTTGGGAGATGGGCAGGGGATAGCAGCAGGACACATCCCATGAGCCAGATCTGCCTTCCCAACCCACAGCGAGGCCGGGTCTGCAGGAGCAGAGCTTGGTGGCATCAAGACACACACAGGAGTTTTGCCGTGAAGCACCTTTCTCCTCCAACCCCACCTCTGGGGACCCATTCCCCCCCCAACAGCACCCCGCCCCCAGAAGCAGGTGGGCCTCTCCTGTGTAACTGAGCCCTGCCCCCCTGGTGGCTGAGGGTCCCCTTGGCCCCCCAGGATGCCTGATCAGCCGCACCAGGTCCCATTTCAAGAGGTCACAAAGTGACCCTGCCCTAGCCCCCAGAACAGACATCTCCACAGCCCAGGGGACACACCATGGGGACCCTGGTCAGATGTGCTTCCCTGGGTGAGCAAGCTGGGCTTCTGGAGGCTCCTGCCTCTGCCCTGCCCCCAGCTGCCTGGCGCCAAGTGCCAGAGAGTCCATGTCCTGGACCATGTCCTACAAGCAGCATCAAGTTAAAACTGCCCAAGGAGAAGAGCCACTGCCCAGTTCTGACCAATCCCACACTTGGCTTTGTCCAGACTCCAGGCCGTGTCAGAGGGACTGCCATGTCCCCTGCACAGGTCATGCCAGAAAGCAGCTGGGGCCCAGGCTGCAGGAAGGAGCTGCTGGGCTGGGGTTGTTTCAAACAACTGTATTCAAATATAAGAGCTAAGCGAAGGCTAAGCCAAGGAAGGAGACAAGAGTGCTCAAGGGACAGGGGAACCCACCTACGCTGGGGAGGGGCCTGCTGCCTTTTTAAATGTGACACATTTACTGTAATCAGCAGGAAATATGGGACAAGAGATGTGTGACTAACAAAGAATGCAAGTCCCCAGCACACGCATCTGTGGGGAGCCAGCTGTGGTACACAGAGAGCGCAGACGGAGGTCCAGCCCTGCTCAGCACCTGGGGGCACCATGTGAGTTGACCACAGGAGAGCTTCTTGCCAGTGGAGGTGCTCTGGCCTCCATGGTGTAAGGCCTGTCGTGTACACCAAAATGCAGGGGGTCTCGTGTCCAGGACACAAGGGAACAGCATTTCCTGGTGAGGCCCAAGGCCTGTGTCTGTCTCCTCTTCTCATCACTGGTGCCTTGCAGATGCTACTCCGACCTGGCCCCACTTGGGAATCAGAGCACAGAGTGAGGACCATGTTCATTGGCCAGAGAGGGTGCTGTGGGGACACACTGAGCCCCCCGCCCCCACATCAGAGCATAGAGGCCAAGCTACCAAGTCACCTGGAGAATACTGTCCTCCCCCCCAGTTATGTGTCACCAGGAGCAGTGGGAAGTACCAGGGCCCTGCCCACTCCTATTCACACAAAAGCGTTAAGGACTTTGAAGGTCTTATCTGGAAAAGTGGTGAATACACCACCCCACACACACACACACACACTACCAGGAATCCCTAGATTCCATCTGGTTGCCCTGGAGTGTGAGGTGGGAAGGTGCTGAGACTGTGACAGACCCTGCAGATGCCTAACTCACAGGGGCAGGAGACAGCAGGCCCCAGGCTGGCAGCACCCCAAGCTCTTTAGTCCCTCAGAAGGCACTAAAGACATGTGGCCTCCTGAATGTGATAACAGCAGCAAAAAGATGCTGCCCTGCACAGCTAGAACCTCCTTCAGCAGGTTCCCGATATACCCAACGCCACAGCAAGGACCAGGCAATGTGAAAATGACCTGACGCCAGTCCTGACCGAAAGACCCTCAGGGAGACCTTGGGGCGGGGATCCACAGGGGCAGCACTGACTTCCGGCCTGCACAATCTCCCCTTGTGGGTTACCTCTCCCCATCAGCTGTGCTGCACAAGCCCTTCTCTGCAGCCAGTTCCTCCCTCTCCATAGGCAGCTTCTTTCCAACATCTAGGAGCACAGGGACCTTTGTGTCTGAGGGCTGCTAAAAACAAGGGCCACACATTGGGCAGCTTCAAACACTACATACCCATTCTCCCAGTTCTAGAGCCAGGGGTTGAGATCATGGTGCATAAGCGTTTTGCATTTCTTCTTGGAGAACCCGTTCTGCTTCTTCCAGCTTTGGCTTTGTCAGCAACCCTTTGCCTTCCTTGGCTGGTGGAAGCATCACCCTAGCCCTGTCTCCATCATCACATGGCTGGCTCTCCTCCATGTCTGTGTCCAAATCTCCTCCTTCTTACAAGGACATCAGTCATCTTGGATTAGGGCTCATGCTAATGACTTCATTTTACCTTGATTACATCTGCAAAGACCGTTTCCAAGGTCGGTGGCGGGGGGAGGGGGGGAGGTAGGACTGAAGCATATATTTTTGGGGAACATAATTCAACCCACAACAATGGGGATCACCTGGGGATACCTCCCATTTGATCCATCCCCTCCAGGCTGTACTCTGGTGCTTGAATGGGCACCTCCCACAGACCCAGAGCCAGGACTTCTAGGGCCCCCTCCACCGGCTGACCTTTGTCCTGTTGCTGTGAATTCCACATAGAGGATTCAGTCTCTCGTTTGCATATAACCACAGCCCTACAGGCTCTGCAGCCCCTCATGCAAGCCTGTCCATCGGTCAGCCCCTTCCTTCTTTCCATCCCATTTCTAGCTCACTCTTCAAACTGCCGCCCAGGCCTTGCCCTCCAGCCCTGTGCCCTGCGCCCAAACCTCTCTGGTCAAAGGTAGACCCTGCCTGCTGCCTATCTCGCTCCTGCTCCTGCTCCTGCTCCTGCTCCGGCTCCTCTGCCTGGGACAACTTCTTGACCCTCCTCTGGAGCTCACAAGCCCTTCTATACCCAGATACACAAGGTTTCTGCAGCTCTCACCACCAGATGACCCAGACACCCCTCAGAACAGCTCTATCACCTCCTCCTGTGAGGGAGAAGCCCCACTAAGAGCAAGCACCCTGACTCCCCAACCCTTCACTCTGCCCTGCCTCCTCCACCTCTCCAGGATCCCTGCGCTGCAGCCAAAAAAATGGAGGCCCAAACCCCTGTTCTGAACGTGCTTGTCAATCAGGCCCTCAGCACCTGCAGTCCTGGGATCACTTTCGGGATGGTCAGCGTCAAAGCTGGCAGAGTTCCAGGAGCACTTTTTGAATAACAAAAGCAGATAGGGGAATGGAGAAGCAAACTGAACTGCTGGAGCCTTTTCTCACCTGGAGGTGATTTATCTCCAACCCACGCCATGACTCAGCACAAAGGTGCACCGCGGCCGTCCCCTCAGACACAGAGGGGAACAAGAGGGGTCAACCCTCCCTGACAACCCACAGCCTGCTGTCGGCTTACAGGGCAGGGGCCACTGCTCCCAGGGTACGTCCTGGCCCACTTTCTCCTCAGCAGCGCTTCTACCACCCTACCACACCTTGCTGTTCCCTGAGATATTCTTAAAAGAAGAAGTGACTTTTTAAAAGGCTTTAATACTCAAAATCCAAATGAACCCATATACATAAAGTGTTCCATCTGACCCAGAACCGGGCTTGTCAAAATACCCGGAACCGCCCTGATGTTAAGGAGAAATTAGCTGAAAGCTGCTGAGTAATGGCCCTGGCAAAACCCTGTCCCTGACGTGACACAGCACATTGGAGAGGCGCTGCGGTCCCCGGGGTCAGGGGACACACGGGGACACCGCACAGAAGTCAAGGCCAGACTGGGGGACCCAGAGGCCAGGGGGAGCTCCCCGCACCCACCCAGTCTGGGCTGTTCTCTTCCAACTACGAGACACAGAAACACCTGGCACACCTGCTCACCGGCGGGCTGTTTCCGACGGTGGTGGCGCAGACGGCGATCGCAGTGGAGACAGACACCGTCCTCTCCTGGGAGCAAGAGACCCCCTCCGTTAGGTGATGCAGGCTCCGCTAAGAAGCCTCGCGGCGGGCGCCCACGCAGGGCCCGGCGGGCGCCTCCGCAGAGCAGGCTCCTCAAGAGGGCATCTCTGCGCTCACCTCAGCCGGCGGCCCAGGAAAACTGGCACCGACCCCGGCTTTCGCACGTGGCTCGGGCACCGAGGACCAGTACGAGAAGCCTCGGGAGGGGCGGGGAGGCGCACCTGAGGAGGGGAAGGCGCAGCTCACTGGGGATGGTGGCGCGTGGAGGGGGCGCCCCTGGGGAGGGAGACAGGCGCGCCACACCTGAGGGGGGCGCACGGCCCGTTCTGCAGCTTCGCGTAACGGCAACCCGCACCCAGACGGCGCGGGGCTGAGGATGCTGACTCACTGTCCGCTGCCGCCGCCGCCGCCGCCACCGCGAATTCAAATACGGCCCGCGGCCCGCCCACCCCGCGCCGGCCGCGCCCACAAGTGACGCAAGCCTCGGCCGCGCCCGCCCCTGGCCCCGCCCCGACACGCAAGCCTCGGACCGGCGCCGGCCCCGCCCCGATCACGCAAGCCTCGGACGCGCCCGCCCCTGGCCCCGCCCCGATCACGCAAGCCTCGGACGCGCCCGCCCCTGGCCCCGCCCCGATCACGCAAGCCTTGGACCGGCGCCGGCCCCGCCCCGCACGGCCCCGCGGTGCAGGGAATCGAGGCTCCCGCCGCCCTTAGCTGGCCCCCCGCTCCAGGCAATGAATTCCTCCGGTTACCATTATAATGGTCACCATTTTAATCTGAAACATATTCCTATAAAGTGACGGGCAAAGGAAATGAAATCTGTCAAATGGCCCTGAGATGATTCCACTAAATCCATTAAATACGATATAGTCTGGAAATGGCACCTATTTTTTTTTTTTTTTTTTAGCTTACTCTAAATGAATGAATAATTTAAAAACGGATTCTTTTGCTTCAGTGCATTAGTAACCTTATAACCTGAATGAAACTACTACAGGAGAAAATCCAGTTTATACCTGTTAGCCCCAAAGCAGGGAGAGGGCACTCAGGTTCTGGGAGCCCTCAGCAGCAGAAAGGCTGCCTGGCTAGGGCCCTCCTGGGGTCAGAGGGCAGTTCTGAGGAATCCGTTACTTCCATAACTGGGGCAGTATTAGGCTATAACTTGACACGTAATCTCAGGAGGGTGAGCAAAGAAAACATGAGGATCCACTGATAGTAGAAGCACATTATTTTACCAGCAACAAAAATGTATTATCTGTCATTGGAGGCAGTGTTGATCCTGAAAAAAAATTCACCTCTTTACCTCCGAGTTGGTTAAAGAAATATTTGTCAATGAAAGAACACACAGATGGTCAGTGACATACTAAAACAGGCAAAGGATGCCCCTTGGTTGTTAGGTAATGACTGGAAAAATTACTAGGAATATGCTAATTCCAATCCTAAATCATCATCTGTCCAGTGTGGCCACTGGCAAAGCACAGATGCACCTAGTTCTATTTTTCACTCAGGTGAGCGGAGTTCAATATAGCCTCACCTCTTTAGGGGGCAGGAACTCCATTTTCCTAATTAATTTTCTCTTATGCTCAAATTTTACAATTATTACCTTTATATTTGGGAAAATAAGCTTTATTTAAAATATTTTTTTGTGCTTATCCATAACAATAAAATTTTGTGCTGCCCAGGCTGGGCCTCTTATTGGAGAAGCTCCCTTGTCCTGCCAACACATTCCCAGCTAACCCTGGGACAGAAAATTCGGAACTGCCACAAACGGAAGGCCTTCCCTGAGTCTCCCTGCACCAGGACAGAGATGTAGTTGAGGGTCAGCTCGGCAATGCAGAGAGCCCTCCACAGGTGCCAGGTGTCCCACCACTCAGATGTGGCCTGTGGGAGCTAAGGGGACAGGCACAGCCCACAATCCTTGAGGCTGTGCATCCATCCTGCTCTTCCCTGCGCTTTCGTGACTGTCCCCACCTGAGCCCCAAGCCCCCATCCAGGCCTCCAGACAGGTTCCCCCAAGCCTGGCTCCAATCACAAACCCTCAACGTCTCCTAGCAGTTAAAGAACCCCTATAAGTTGGCAGCCAGGCCCACTGCCTTCCAGCCTCCCCACCCTTGTCATGGCCCCCCGCCTTCCGGTGCCCTGGATGCCCCCCAACTCCCATTTTAATTTCTCTAAAGCCTCTCTTTCTCTGCCTTATCCTGGGGCCTGTGCAGCTGCCTCCACCTGAGGGCTCCTCATCAGCTCTATAGCCCCAGGCTGCTGGTGAGGCAGGTGTTTCACAAAGTGTGATACAGCCCAAGTGACAGATGACCAAAAACACAGGTGGCTTTTCCACTGAAACATGCATTCTGAAACGTATCCCTAAATAGATTATTTCCAAAATGCTATAATGTTAGTGCTAAGAGAAGTCAGGGAAATAAGAGTCTTGGGCTTACCTGGGATGGACTCAAGGGCACTGCCAATGGGGTCCAGTGGGTGGGCACGAGCTGAGAGAACGGGCAGAGCAGTGGGGGAGGAGCCGCTGGAGCCAGCACTGGACGCCAGGCTGGATGCCACACTGGAGCTCACACTGGGAGCAAGCGGGTGGACCACTGTAAACACTGCCAGGTGGTTCTGTGCAAAGACACAAACAAGATGAGCAGACGCACCTGCATGGAAAACAGCGGCGTGACCTTATGCAGTCACGGACAGACAGAAGCACTGGCTGCCTTCCATCCCCAAAGCAAAAAATAACAAAAATGGACTTTTGCCCTAAATGTCTTGTTATTTAGAGTGACCTAGTCACTAGCTGTCAATCACCCAGAGACAAGAACAATCACATCTAGAGAGGGTCTCATCTAATGAACTGCTCTGCAGAAAGCAATTTTCAAAGTCGACATTCAGCACTAGGAAACAACAGACCAACAGACAAAAGTAGAGAATCAGCCCCCTTCTGAAAACAGATGAAATGGTCCCATGACCTCATTACTCAAGAAAAGTAAAGAATGGAGGCAATTCACATCATCTTTATATGATAACAGATTCAAAAACAAAGAGCTAGCACAATCTTGAATGAAAAGCCGGAAATGTGTGCAGGGCGCTGCGCACGTGGAAAGCCTGCGACGAAAACCGCACCGGCCAGAGCTGCAAGCTGGCCCGCAGCTGCATCGGAGGGTAGACTCCGAAGTTACTAGGACGTCAAGAGTCAGAGCTACGCTGAGGCGAAACGGTGTGCTTGTCATTCTGCTTCAAAATGTGACAGAGAAGTTAACCTGGGGGTGGGGCAGCCACAAGGCCAACAAGGTGGGGTTGCTAGTTTGTCAGCTTAAGGGAAGTTTTCCATAATGAGTGTTACTCTGCATTTTGTCAGACAGAAATCTGGCAGAGGACAGTTTTTCCAAGTGAGTGTTATTTGGTGCTGAGGCCTTGTTCTGTGTGTTCATCCACTGGCTTTGCTCCAGAGAGCTCCCCATGACAGACCACTGGTCCACGGGTGTAGGACCCTGGAACTGATAGCCACTGGATGTTTGAGGTTAAAATTTAAAAATAAAACCTCAAACTGCTCCCGCGGGTCACCCACAAACAAGCTTTCCTGTCCCTCCAGCTGTGGAGGTATGACCACAGCTCCCGTTCCTCTCTCCCTCCACTGGGCTGTGTGCCTTCCCCAGGTGGGCCAGAAACCACTGTAACCCACGGAGGACACTGTAGATGGCCCAAAGTAAACCTCACACACTGAGCCTGACCCGGAGCTACTAGCCTGAGGCACACTCTGTGACTACCCACTCACACAAGTCAAGTCACACTGCAGGAGGATATGCCCCCTCAAAGACATCAGGTGAAACTCTCTCCTGAAAATTGATGACAACATCCTGGTGGGCCCTTTCACCGAGGCCATGGTAGTTACAAATGTACCAGGATGGGTCAAGCATGGGGTCACCATCAGAGGAGTCTGACATACCCGGCGACATGGGGGACCATGCCCCCCCATGATAGCTTTGTCTGCCTGGTTTATTTTCTTATGGTAAAGTACATACAACATAAAATGTACCACCTTACCCATATTTATGCGCACAGTTCAATGGCATTAAGGACATTCACAGTATTGAGCAACATCCACACCATGCATCTCCATAACTTTTCCATCTTCCCAAACTGAAACTCTGTGACCATTAAACACTCTCCATCCATATCTCCCAGCCCCTAACACTACCATTCTTTTTTTTTTTAAATTGATTTTCAGAGAAAGGAAGGGAGAGGGAGAGAAAAACAGATACATCAATGAGAGAGAACATCAACTGGCCGCCTCCTGCATGCCCCCAACTGGTCCACAACCTGGGCACGTGCCCTGACCGGGAACTGAACCAGCAACTTCTTGGTGCATGGGTCAGTGCTCAACCACTGAGCCACACCAGCCGGGTATACCATCCTATTTTCTAGCTGTACAACTCTGACTCCTCGAGGGGCCTCTTATGAATGAAATTGTTACAGGGCAGTGAAAAGCTAGGAAAACTCCAGCAAGAGAAATGGAGAAACTGAGACAAGAAAGTTAAAACAAAGCCGAACAGTGTGGGCAATTTGCAGCTGGCTTGTAAATAACAAGCCATTATCGTCTCTAAATCAAGGACACCTGAGAGCAAATGGTTAAAAGCCACCCTAACAGCACCCTGACCAGGTAGCTCAGTTGATTAGAGCATTGTCACAATATGCCAAGATTGTGGGTTTGATTCCTGGTCAGGGCACATACAGAAATCAACCAATGAATGCATCAATAGTAGAACAACAAATCAATATTTCTCTCTCTTTCTCTTAGTGAAGGAAAGGGGGAGAGAAGGTTGGAGTTTTTCTCACCCCTAAACAAAGAAATCAGCTATTTTGGGAAAGGGGAAAGGAAAAAAGGGCAGTTTTTTTGTTTTTTGGTTTTTTTACTCCTTAACAGAGAAGCCAGCAGTCTCAAGGCTAGGCAAGATAAAACTGCCAGGTGCTTCTCATGAATTCTGAGAAGGCCACACAAAGTAAAAAGAGACCCTGATGATTGATCTGCACCAAGATATTCAGCAGAGGAATTTTGAAACCTACAGTCAGGGGGTATAATGCCTGGGACCCCCACCCAACTCACTCTTCAGATTAGCGGAGAGCCCGTCTGCGCTCCATAAGCCAGATGTACAGGTTTGCTTGCCTTGCTTCTTTAATACATTTGCATGCTTTAATTTTTAAAAATAAACTGGCCCTGGCCAGTTGCTCAGTGGTTAGAGCGTCGGCCGCAGACCAGAGAGTCGCGGGTTCAATTCCGGTCAAGGGCACATACCTTAGTTGCAGTTCAGTCCCCAGCCCTGGTCAGGGTCGTGCAGGAGGCAGCCAATTGATGTGTCTCTCTCACATTGATGTTTCTCTCTCTCTCCCCCTCCCACTCTATCTGAAGATAAATGAAAAAAATATCCTCGGGTGAGAATTAAAAATAAATAAATTGGCTTTATCACAATGCAATCATCTGGAGTTTTCTCGTTTAAACTTGTTTATCCGAGAGGACAAGAATGGAGGTTGGGGACAGTCCTCTCTCCCTCCTACTCAGGGGGCTGTCCAAGAACACCTCTCTGGTGTCTGTGAAAGATGTCTGTAACAAAATCATGTTTAGCCTATTTCACTTAGCATAGTATCTTTGTTATGGACTGAATGTCTGAGTCCCTCCAAGGTATAAGGGTTGAAGCCCTAACCTCACAGTGTGACTGTATTTGGAGATAGGGCCTTGAAGGAGGTGGTTAAGGTTAAATGAGGTCATAAGAGTAGGGTCCTGATCCAATAGAACTGGTGTCCTAATAAGAGGAAGAGACACCAGAGATGTGCACACAGAGAAAAAAACAGTGTGGGCTCACAGCAAGACGCCAATAGTCTGTAACCCAAGGAGAGGCGCCTTGGAGAAATCAAACCTGCCCTGGCCAGTTTGGCTCAGCAGTTAGAGTGTTGGCCCTCGGACCAAAGAGTCCCGGGTTCAATTCCAGCCAAGGGCACATACCTTGGTTGCGGTTTGTCCCCAGCCCTGGTTGGGGTCATGCGGGAGGGCACCAATCGATGTGTCTCTCTCACATCGATGTTTCTCTCTCTCCTCTCCCCCTCCCACTCTGTCTGATGATACATGTAAAAGTATCCTTGGGTGAAGATTAAAAAAAAGAAGAGCGCTGGCCGGTTGGGCTCAGCGGTTAGAGCATCGGCCTGCGGTCCAGAGAGACCTGGGTTCGGTTCCTGCTAAGGGCACGTATCTCGACTGGAGTTTGTCCCCGGCCCTGGTTGGGTCATGCGGGTGGCAACCACTCGATGTGTGTGTCTCTCTCTCTTCCTCTCCCTTCCACTTTATCTGAACAAAAAAATGAAAAAATGTCCTCGGGTGAGGATAAAAAAGAAAAAAAAGAGAAAGAGAAATCAAACCTGCCTACCCTTCGATCTTGGACTTATAACCTCCAGACCTGTGAGAAAATAGATTTGTTATTTTAGCCAGCCAGTCTATAGTATTTTGTTATGGCAGCCCGAGCTAAAAGTCTTCAATGTTCATCTGTGTCGTAGCATGTCAGAATTTCCTTCCTTCTTAAGGCTGAATAATATTCCACTGTATATATACACCTCATTTGTTTATCCATTCATTATCGATGGACACTTGGGTTGCTCAACCTTTTGGCAATTCAGAAAAAAAATGCTGCTATGAACATGGGTGAACAAATATCTCTTTGCTTACAATTCTTTTAGATATATACCCGGAGGTGAAATTGCTCCATCATGGGGTAGTTCTAAAGTCAAACCGCGAAGGTCTCCATTTCCAATAATTCGGTTCTCCACCTAATTGTTCACATAAAAACTGTCTCCATTAACTTTGGTTCTCAACCTGACAACCCTTTCATGCTGCTACATCAGCATGACAAAAGCATCTCTCAGGTCACAAGCACAGGACAGAATCTCTCAGTGTGAGTCAGTTCACAGCTAAACCTTGCCTTGTGAACATCTGAGGAAACTGTTATGAATATTTTTGTGGGGTTTTTGTTGGTGGTGGTGGTGTTTTTTTGTTGTTTTTTTGCCTTTGTTCCTGACTAAATGAACAACTGGTACAATTTTTAAAAAACATAGAGACCATCAAGAGTGCTAATGTTGCTAACGGTGTGAAAGAAACAATAATCACAGGTAATTGAAGAGATAGAAAGACTATGTTTTTGTTTTAATGCTCACCACAGGATATTTTCCCATTGATTTTCAGATAGAATGGAAGGGAAGAAAAGGAGGAGGAAAGAGAGAAACATTGATGTGAGAGAGCCACCTTGATTGGTTACCTCCTGCATGACCCCAGGATCGTACTGCAACCGAGGTATGTGCCCTTGACAAGAATCGAACCCAAGACTCTCTGGTGCATGGGCCGACGCCCTAACCACTGAGCCAAAGCAGCCAGGGCAGACACACTGTTGCTTATTTGGATAAAGGAAAAGCAGTTGGCCAGTGACAGCATTTCAGAGGCAGTGTATGTGAAAAAGCGAAGATGCCGCATCCTGGCCTTCTGAAAGACCCCACCCCCACCCCCGGGAATAAGCGCCGACAGTGATTCAAGTGACTCATTTAAGTCTGGTAGGGGTGGTTTGAGAAATTTAAGAAAAGTGTTTGTTTATAGATTAAACAGTACATTAGACACGTACTGTATATAAGGTTAAAACAGGGAATCATTTGGGGGTCCTGAACAAATAAATTCAATTTACATTATTTCTAATGAGAAAAAATGATACAGTTTTCAAATAAATCACTTCTCAATCAGTCTTCCAGAACAAATTAAGTCCAAGAACTGAGTTTCCATTGTAGTTTTAATTTTTCAAGGAACCTACCATACTCTGTTTTGTCTTTTTTTTCTTACAGCATCCATCCTAATGAGTGTGGAAGTCATATCTCACTGTGGGTGTGTCAGATAGGATCTCAATGGGCAGTTCTAAATGTTACTTCTTGCTAAATGTTCAATACAACAGTATTTTTCAGATGCAGCAATAAACAGGATAAGCTGAAAGGAGAACTCAAGAAATGAAAGCAGTCAACAGCAAAGAAGAAACCAACATGTAATTAACCAAACAATGGATGTAAGCAGTGGCTAAGCCTTCCTTTGAGCCAGCTGAGCTGTGGAGATAAATCCTGTCTCCTTGACTTGCTCCAAGTAACTAAAACTACCTTGTTACAACCATCTCTCATTTTTTGTTTTTAATTCTCACCTGAGGATATGCTCTTCCATTGATTTTTATTTTTTTAAATATGTTATTGATTTTTTAGAGAGAGGACGGGAAAGAGAGATAGAAACATCAACATGAGAGAGGAACATCGACTGGGTGCCTCCTGCATGCCTCCTACTGGGGATTGAGCTTGCAACCTGGGCATGTGCCCTGACCAGGAATCTAACTGGGACCTCTCAGTCCATGGGATGATGCTCAAGCTACGAGCCACACCAGCTGGGCTTATTGATTTTTAGAGAGAGAGGAAGGGAGAGGGCGAGAGACAGAGAAACATGGATATGAAAAACATCACCTGGTTGCCTCCCGTAGGCACTCTGACCAGGAATAGAACCAAAAATCCTTTGGCATACTGGACGATACTCAAACTGAGCCACCCAGCCAGGGCTCACCGTTCCCCCCCCCCCCTTTTTTTTCTAAAGATTTTTAAGTTGGGAGAGAGAAAGGAACATGGATGTGAGAGCAAAACACTGATTGGCTGCCTCCTGCACACCCCCCACTGGGGATTGCAATCCTTTGGTGCACAGGACGCCCAACTGAGCCACACCAGCCAGGGCTTGCCTCTCATTTTTTAACATAGCGCCCCAAGTGGTGAATCCATGTTTGGTAAAAGATGTGAGATGCATTTCCCTGATGCCCAGTGGTGTTGAGCATCCCTTCATGTGCTTCAAGGCTATTTGTATTTCTCCTTTGGAGAAATGTCTATTCACGTCCTTGGCCCATTTTTCAGCTGGGTTGTTTTGCTGATGTTGAGTAGTAAGAGTTCTTGTTAAGTTGTGGACATTAACCCCTTATCGGACACATGATTTGCCAATGTTTTCTCCCCTTCCGTGGGCTGTCTTTTCACTCTGTTAACTCTGTTAACAGTGTTCTTTTACACACAAGTTTTTAATTTTGATGATGTATAACTTATCTATTTTCTCTTTTGTTGCCTGCACTGTTGGTGTCATATCCACTAAATCATCACCAATCCATGCCATGAAGCTTTCCCATCTGCCTGTTTTGAGTGACAGGCTGGAGGAGAGCAACTTTCACCAACATGAGACAACTGGCTGAGGGGACCTTGGAGTGACCTGGGGTCTCATCAAAGTGATAACCTTGAAAGCATGCATGTTAGAAAGGAAGGAGCTCAGGCTGACGACTGTGCTCTCACAGGGCTGTGTGCTCTGGGGCTGGCAAGCTGACAGCCTGGCTGCCTTCCGCTGGGCCTCTCGGGTGTCCTGGGCTTTGGGTGCACGGGGGCAGCTTCTCTGTGGTCTCCGCAGACTGCATGGACCATCACCTCGGCACGACGGGTGCCTCAGCTCTGAGGATGGTGGAGCCGCCAGCAGGAAAGCTGCTTTGCTCCACGTGTTCCGTCCAGTGTGGCCTGGCAAGCAGGCTTCTGAGAAACACACCTCCCAGGAAGGAAGATGGAACTGGGGAGTGGGCCAGACGGAGCAGGAATTCAACCACCTCAACTTATCAACAAACACTCTGGACAGAGAGGCACCTGGTGCTCCCCACACCCACCCAATGGCTGAAGCCCCAGAAACGAGAGCCGCTGCTAGGGCTAGGAACACAGGGACAGGGGACACAGGGACCTGCCGCTGACATGGAAGAGACCCCTGGGCCCTGATTGTGAGGCCTGACCTGGGGAGGAGGAGGGGCTCACTCAGACTGCGAGAGAAACAACTTCTACTGTTTAAGCCCCCAGCCCGCGGTGCTTTGTTACAGTGGCCCCATGTCTTGCTCTTCTTTCTCTGTGGAGGAAACTTTCAGAGGTTTGGGTTCTGTTGTTTCCCAGGTATAGGCAGACCTTGTTTTATTGCGCTTCACAGGTGTTACATTTTGTACAAACCGAAGGCAAGACCTTCCACCAGCAAAAAGATCACGACTGGCTTGACCGCCACCCTCTCTATTGCAGCAGGCTGGCCCCGAAACCACATCTCCAAAGTCTGCCTGCACAACACAACTTTTTAAACATTCAAACAAAGGACACCTGGAACAGACGACTTTAAGAAGATAACTAAAAACGCAGTTAAATGCTCCGGCTGGGTAGCTCAGTCGGTTAGAGCATCATCCTGAAACATCTGGTTGACGGTTCGATCCCCAGGCAAGGCATATACATACAAGAATCAACCAGTGAATGCATAAATAAGTGGAACAACAAATTGACGTTTGGTTCTTTTCTCTCTCTCTCTTCCTTCTCTTCTCTAAAATCAATAAATTTCAATATAAATAAATAAGTAAAAACATAGTTAAATTACACGTGAACGTTAACCAGGTCATTTTGTGCCAAGAGTGAGCATGACCAAATAAATTAGAAAGTCATAACCCAGGCCTGCTGTCCACATTATCACAAGGATAACGTGAGATCCCGCCTCAGGAGTATGGTACCTGCTTACTGTCGTGCTCACTGGCTTTCTGGCTACCTTCAGCAGGTGAGTCCCTCTGCTTGGCCTGCAACAGAGGAAAAAAGAAGACACAGTTGATTAAAAATATGCAGAGCCCGGTCAGTGTGGTTCAGTGGCTGAGCGTGAACCCATGCACCAAGATGTCTCCGGTTCAATTCCTGGTCAAGACACATGCCCAGGTTGTGGGCCCAATCCCCAGTGGGGGGCATGCAGGAGGCGGACAATCGATGTTGTCTCTCATTGATGTTTCTATCTTTCTCTCCCTCTCCCTTCCTCACTCTAAAATCAATAAACAAAATATATATGTGTGTGTGTATATATATGTATGTATGTATGTGTGTGTGTGTGTGTGTGTATCTACACACATATATATATACACACATACACAGAGAGACCTAAGCTTTGCTCAGAATGTAGAAAATGACAAGTACTCAAGTCTCTTAAAACAGAAAAGGCATTCAAATCAGCCAGCTCTTCATCAGTTCTCCTGAATTCCACTTCTTACACCTGGACATGGTTTGATCTTTGCCCTCCTGGCTCGTCTGTGTGAAGGTGGTATATGAGCTCCATGCACCCTGAACCCACAACATGGACAAACCCCAGACAACCTTTTCACCACAGAGCTTCCCCTCAAGAGCGGGGGAGTTTTGGAAAGACCAACACCTGGAGCAAAGAATGATTTAGGGCAATTCCCTCCCCTCCCCCTCTCTGCAGGGTATGTATTTCCCTCTGTGAAGGTGGCCCCTCTCCTTCTCTCCAGGGAAGAAGGGACCACCTCAACCACCAGGGACACCAGTCACTCAGAAGACTGCAGGAGACCAAGTCTGCATAACACACCTCCCTGAAGCAATCCTTATCTTCCATCCTTTTTCCCGGTTTTACCTTCCCACAATCCACCACCACCCCTGGAAGCAGAAACCTCTTTGATCTAATCAGTTCTTTGGGTCTTGACTTTGTTGTGAAGGACTCTGTATGTGCAAGTAATAAACTTCTTCTCTGTTAATTTATCTTTTGTCAGTTTAATTTTCAGGGCCCCAGTCACTGAACCTTCAAGGGTAGAGGGAAACGTATTTTTCCTCTCCGACACACATAAAAATCCAAACTCTGCCCTGGCCGGTTTGGCTCAGCAGTTAGAGCGTCGGCCCGCGGACCAGAGAGTCCCGAGTTCAGTTCCCACTAGGGACACGTACCTCAGTTGCAGTTTGTCCCCAGCCCCTGTTGGGGTTGTGTGGGTGGTAGCTACTTGATGTGTCTCTCTCACATCAATGTTTCTCTCTCTCTCTTCCTCCCTCTCTCTGTCCTGCTCTATCTGATGATAAATGCAAAAAAAAAAAAAAAAAAAAGTCTTTGGGTGAAGATAAAAAAAATGATATAAAGACTAAGTTGTGAAGAAACCTTGATTATTCTGAAATAAGCCCCAAACCTGGGCAGGCTCCCTGCATTGGAATCTCACCCTAGAGTCCAGGCCCTTCCCCTGCTGCCCCTACACTGTGCCTTCAGGCTACTGGGGGGATGGGGGCAGCTCATGGTCTTCAGTCAGCCACTCCCCACTACACAGGTGCTTTCACCCACAGGTGCACAGGCATAAGGGGTGTTCGGGCAGTGGGATGTTCGGGCATGGGCACGCGGGATATTGGGGCACGCGGGATGTTTGGGCATGGGCACGCGGGATGTTGGGGCATGCGGGATGTTCGGACATGGGCACGTGAGATGTTTGGGCACGCAGGATGGTTAGGCATGGGAACGCGGGATGTTCGGGCATGGGCACGTGAGATGTTTGGGCACGCAGGATGGTTAGGCATGGGAACGTGGGATGTTCGGGCATGGGCACGCGGGATGTTGGGGCACGCGGGATGTTCAGGCATGGGCACATGGGATGTTCGGGCATGGGCATGTGGGATGTTTGGGCACGCGGGATGTTCGGGCATGGACATGCGGGATGTTGGGGCACGCGGGATGTTCGGGCATGGGCACATGGGATGTTCGGGCATGGACATGCGGGATGTTGGGGCACACAGGATGTTCGGGCACACCGGATGTTCGGGCACGGGCACATGGGATGTTCGGACATGGGCATGCGGATGTTCGGGCACATGGGATGTTCGGGCACATGGGATGTTCGGGCATGGGCACATGGGATGTTCGGGCACATGGGATGTTCGGGCACACCGGATGTTCGGGCATGGGCACACCGGATGTTCGGGCATGGGCACATGGGATGTTCGGGCATGGGCACATGGGATGTTCGGGCATGGGCACATGGGATGTTCGGGCATGGGCACATGGGATGTTCGGGCACATGGGATGTTGGGGCACACCGGATGTTCGGGCATGGGCACATGGGATGTTCGGGCACACCAGATGTTCGGGCATGGGCACATGGGATGTTCGGGCATGGGCACATGGGATGTTCGGGCATGGGCACATGGGATGTTCGGGCACATGGGATGTTCGGGCACACCGGATGTTCGGGCATGGGCACATGGGATGTTCGGGCACACCGGATGTTCGGGCATGGGCACATGGGATGTTCGGGCATGGGCACATGGGATGTTCGGGCATGGGCACATGGGATGTTCGGACATGGGCATGCGGATGTTCGGGCACATGGGATGTTCGAGCACATGGGATGTTCGGGCACACGGGATGTTCGGGCATGGGCACGCAGGATGTTGGGGCACGCGGGATGTTCGGGCATGGGCACGCGGGATGTTGGGGCACACGGGATGTTCAGGCATGGGCACGCGGAATGTTCGGGCATGGGCATGCGGGATGTTGGGCACATGGGATGTTTGGGCAGAAGGGAGGGCAATGAGAGCAGTTTGCCCAGGACAGGGGCGTACTCTTTTGCTTACATTCAGTTCTGCTGTCTGAACGTGACTGAGATTCAGGAAAAGGGTAAAGGAAAGCTGCCCTCCATGAAACAGCCACACTGAGGTCTGACATTCTTCAAGTGTCCCAATCAATCGTTCCCGCAGGCTCACTAGCACAACCCAATCCCCAGAAGGGTGGCCAGAGCTAACCCCAGAGCCTCAGCTCCCCGTGTGTTTTCCTACACGCCCGAAACTCATTCAACTACCTGCTGACAATGTCACCCAGAAGAACTAGCCAATTCCAATGCTCGGGCACCCAGAAGTCCTGATGTTTAGTAATGAAACAGTTTGCTCGAATCTTGGTAAAGAAAACTTAGAGGATTTTAACTTCTTCCTCAATTTTCACTCCCAGCCTCGGGTCCACGTGGATCGTCTCAAGGAAGACAACCAGCGGGAGAGGCGGTGGCTGCGCTGTGAGTGCACAAGACACCACTGTGCACTTCCAATGACGAAACCTGCACCTACAGCCCCTCCCCAGCGTAGCCGAAGGCTGTGAGGTGGCGAATCCAGGTGCAGCCCGTCCTAGGTGCAGCAGGGGCTCTGAGGCCCCCAGACTGTGAGCCTGGCCCTGGGAGGAAGGTGGGCTCGCCTCCAAGAGCAGCCCAGCGCCCTCAGACGGAAGGACTTCAGCTTCGTCTGCAGCCAGATGGCTGCTTCCTTGGTGACTCCAACTGTACAAATGGAAACACTAACGCACCGAAGTCACCAAGCCCCCGAGGAAGGGGTCCTCCCTGCCCCCTCAGAACACCCTTGCGAGGGCACAGCTAAGAAGTCACTGCCTCGCCAGTGAGGGTGGGACACAAAGTTTGAACCTTGCGCCCATCGTCTCACTCTGTCTTCAACCACATAAGGGTCCTAGCCCATCGGGGCCATCAGCTCCAGAAGTGACCTTCCATTGCCAGTCTCTCACTGCCCCTGCAAACCTCCTGGAGCACCCTGAGACCCCTGGGTGCTCCCTGTCAGGGAGCTGCCCACACAGCCAGTACCTCCTCTCCTGGGTGAGAGCCTGAAAGGACCCCGCCTGGACTTGGGGCCCTTTCTTTACAGTCAGCCTAAGACTATGCCTTCATGCGCGGTCAGTAAGTGAGGGTCCAGCAAATGGCAAGGGCCAAGCCAGAACTTGGCCAAGACTCTTCTAGAGTCTCCTAGGAACCACCAAGCCAAAAGCAGACTGTCGTCAACTGCGTCACCCAGAAATCACGACCATCTGCCCCTTACAGTTTGATTAAAACCAAAGGACAGAGTAGGCCACCCGCCAGGCACCCTCCTGAGGACGCCATCCACTTACGCTTCCAGGTGGGCCACTGCTGGCCGTGGAGCTGCCGGTGGGGGCGAGGTCTCGGCAGCCCCAGTCGCTGGCCATTCCCAGGCTCTCTGGAGAAAAAGGAAGCATGCTCTGAGCGGCTGCTGGCTGCACGCAGCCTTTGGTTAAAGGACCCCCTGCAAATTAGGGAAAGAGCATGCACTGGTCTCATGACAACAATCTCCCCTGGCGACAGGGAGAGGGGGCATCGGAAACACCACATGAGCCACCAGAACAACACGACCCTCAAGTCTTAGGTGTGAGAACTGAATGATGTGAAGGTCAGAAAACTGTATGATTTCAGTAAGAGAAGCCACCCTCCCCATTAAAAGAAAAAACAGGCCCTGGACAGTTTGTTCAGTGGTTAGAGCTTCAGCCCATGGACCGAGGAGTTGCGGGTTGGATTCCGGTCTAGGGCATGTACTTTGGTCGCTGTTCAATCCCCGGCCCTGGTTGGGGTCGTGCGGGAGGCAACCAATCAATGTTTCTCTCTCTCTCTCCCTTCCTCCCTCCTTCCCACTCTATCTGAAAATCAATGGAAAAGTATCCTTGGGTGAAGATTAAAAAAAACAAAAAAACACAGAAGGTAAAACTGAAGTTGGCAACCACACTCATAAAACTGGAACCAACTCAGAGCTTTTAAGAGGCAGCCCCAAGGAGCACGAGGAAAGGCGGAGTCTGTTCGCACGCTCCGCCGCCGGGCTTCCTTTCTGCCTTTGGGAATATGTTACGGGCCCATCTGGCCATCAAAACCACCTTCCAAAAAAATAACCCATGCCAGTGCCCGGCCACTGTGCTCCGGACCCCGGAACACCTGGAAGCAGGACCACCCTGGGCCCACAAGGCCCAGCCCGCAACAGGTCCCACCCCAGGGATCCTAAAGGCATGTTGGGCTCCCCATGTGCTGCCTGTTCTCAAAGCCCCTTGGACAAACAGAAAGTCTAGTGAGCACCTGAGAGTCGTCTCACCTGACGCGTCTACACCAGCAGCTAAGCCGGAGCCTGTTGGGTGTTGTGTACTTACTTTCCACGTGTGCAAAGGCACAGAAAGGACCCCGAGGGCAGTAGCCGGTCTGGCGCATGTCGTTGCACTTTGTAGATTTGTAGATCTAGGAAACAAGAATAAAATAAATCGGAGAGACTGGATTGGAAACGGATTTCCGTGGGAAGCCCAGACAGAAGGTACCACGATGTAGAACTAAGCTCCCAGTCACATCAGGGGTCTTCTGAAGAGAGGGACATAGACGTGGCCCCTCCCCTGCAGGCCCATAGCCCCCAACTCCCTCCTCTGCACAGAGCAGGTCAGCCGGGGAATGCACGCCTGCACCTGTCCTTGAAATCGCACAAAGGCAGCTTCTCCACCTGGTGTTTCCTGGAAGACGCACCTGACTCAGGGCCTGGTGCGCAGCAGGTGCTCAATAAACGCCTATTAAATGATTCACGTGTCCACTCCATGACCAGACCTGATCTGCTTCACTTGGGGCAAAGATACTCTCCTCCTGTCAACAACACTGGAGTCTGGCCCCGCAGCACACCGGGTCCCAGGAAGGACAGTCCAGCCTCAAGGCCCAGATGCCCCTCATGGGCTTGCCAAGGCAGGATCTCTGCACTCCTGCCCAGCTCCCAAATCGACACCCCACCACCCCTCCTCCCTTCCCCGCCGGCAGTGCCGCTCAGTCCCCTTGGCTCTACAATCGTCCCCCAGGCAGCCACACCAACAAAAGCAATTTCAAAGGGTTTCAAATTCACTAAAAATATCAGGAAGCAAAATGTAATTCTATGTGCATTTTATTTTATTTTTTCTGTTCAGATAGAGTGGGAGGGAGAGAGAGAGAGAGAGAAACACTGATGTGAGAGAGACACATTGAGTGGCTGCCTCCCGCATGACCCAACCGGGGCCGGGGACAAACTGCAACCGAGGTACGTGCCCTTAGCGGGAATCAAACCCAGGCCTCTCTGGACCACAGGCCGACGCTCTAACCGCTGAGCCAAACCAACCAAGGCTTATGTGCATTTTAGAGCACCGAACTTAAACAGAACACATTTTCAAGAAACGAAATAAAACCACAACCCTTTGGACGAGGTACCCACCTTGCCTGGAGCCCAGGGTGCCTCCTGTGGCACAGCCCTGGCGCCCTGGCTCCGGGCCTGCTTTCCCGCCAGGGCAGCCTCTGGCGCCCTCAGTGCTAGGCCTGCTGGTGCTCAGTGACCCGAGGGAAGGCCATGTTCACTATACTGAGTTTTGTCTTGCTGGAGTGTGAATAAACACAATGTATGCACCAAGGCACGTGCGTAAAAACAGAGGCAAACACCCTAGAGGTGACGGGGTGTGTGACAGGACATCCACACATCCGTGTGGTTGCAAACACCACCGGCAGGTGTCAAGTAAAGCCAGGTACGAATGCCCCAACGGCGCCACCAATTCACTTTCTTCTTCTCTGTTAAGTCACAACATTACGAACAAACACAGTGAAGTAAAAATTCACTGGTATCCACGGGTTTCAAGCCCTGATTCTGCACCTACACGACCCACAAAGACGTGCATCAGTCTGGGAAACGGGCAAGAACCGTGGGCGCTGGGAGGCCACAGAAATGCACGGGACAGTCGTGACCTCGGGGTGCAGAGCCAGGGGAGGGGAGACGTTTTATCCAAACACTTCTGGTGTGAACAAGCACGAAATATTTTCTGAGTTTCAAAAACTGAATAAGTAAGTTAATGAATGATCATGTGACTAGAAGACAAAAAAAATGGAAACTTGAAAACGGCTATTGTAGGACCTAAAAAGCACGTCTAGGCTTTTAAGAGACAAGGCGTAGGGGTGAAGGCTAGACTTTTATCCAAGTTCCCCACACAGCCCAACGCCTGCGAGTCCAGACTAGCTCAGTGCCTCCCTCCCACAGAGCCCGAAGCAGCCATTTGCCAGACTAGGACCAGCCTCCTTCCCGACCAGGCCGCTTCTCCCCTCCAGGCCCTGGAGTCCAGCAGATGAGTCCACCCCTTAGTCCACAGGATCAGCACTCACGTTCCCACCATCGGTGCCCATCCACCATCTCACCCTGCCCTTCTTCCTCCCCAGCCCGGCCCTGGTCCCCCACCCTCCTTGGCCCCCAAACTTTCCTGCTATCTCAGGCTCTGAAGGGGGCTTGTCTGCTTATTCGTTTTTAATCTAAATCCAAGTGAACACTGGTGAGCTCAGCAGGCTCTGGTTATCCACACCCTGCACGATCCAAAGGAAGGACTGGCCTTGACCAAATCCTAGGCGGTGACCTCTGTGCTCCTAGAATGCCTTGCTTGGTAAGTGTCTATTTACCTGGCCTTGGGCCCCACTGGAGAGTAACGACGTGACTTATGGTGGGGGCCCTGGACCCCATGGCATCAACTCAACCTAAGTCAGCTACGTCTCCACAGCCGACCCTCAGGAAAAACCCTGGACACCAAGGCTCAGGTGACTTCCCTGGATGGCAACACTGTGCTGTCACACATGGTCGATGGGAGAAGTGAGTGCTGTCCATCCTTCACTGGAGGGGACAGCTGGAAGTTCACTCCTGGTCTCTCCAGGACCCTGCCCCGCTCGAGACCTGCCCTTCCCTGATTTCAATCTGCTCCCTTACAGTGTAACGAACCATAACTGCAGACCTAGTGGCTTTGCTGAGTCCTGTGAGTCCCTAGAGAATCGCTGGAGCTGAGGGTGGTCTTAGGGACCCCCAAACATAGCAAGGAGGAGAGTCACCCAGACCCACCCTCTCCCAGGCTGTGAGTGACGCTGCCCAGCTAGCTGGAGCCCCCGCCTGCCCGCTCGTACCTCAGGGTGGAACTGCTGCTCCGTGCGTGAGTGGCAGTACTGACAGCCGTCCCCGCTGTCACACCTTGAGGGCTCACCCCACTCATCGCCGTGCTTCACGCTGGGGCACGGAGTGGACCTGGGGGACAAGGGGGAGTCACAGGAGGTCACTAGAGGAGACATCCTCCCTGCATGCCTTGGGTGTTGGTCTAGCCACCTATCACTGGGCTCACCTCTCAGGATGGCGCACCCACGCCGCAAAGGGCCACGGGCAAACGGCCCCTGGAAGGACCGGTCTCTTTCTTTCTGAGGACAGGCAAGAGCAGGGTAAGTGCCATCTGACCCAGAAAGTACTCAGGAGACCCAGGTTTATTTCCCCCCAAAATTAAAGTGAGCCTAAGCCAGGGCTACCCACGCTGACGCAGAGCATCTTGGAGAAGCGGCCAGACCTCCCGAAGCCAGGAGCCAGGCCCAGGCCCTCAGCTCACCTTGTCTCGAGGTCCTTTTAAAACCGGATGTGAGTCTTTTCCCTACAACAGGAAAACTCTAACCAAATCCTCTACTTTTCATGTACTTGGCAGCTTTATTGTAACTTATTTGATTTTACAGAAAAAAACACCACCACTGGTAAATAAGGCTTTTTGTCTTCTTGGTTATTTTTATTTTTATTTTCTAGCCTTTCCATATGCAATAAATTCACTTTACCTTCTCAAGCTAATATCTGGTCACTAAAACGTAGAGACTCCTAATTTAGATTTTCTGTCCTTGACTCTGAAATGACTCGGAGAAGAAACGATGACTGTGATAAACCCTCTCTCCTCCCGAGAAGGCGGTTCCCTTGGGCGGGGGAGGCAGCATTAGGTAAGTAGACAGAGGCTCTTTGCTCAAAGAAAAAGCCTGACACAGAGCTCAGAGCCCGGAGGAGGGTGGGGGAAAAGGCCCAGAGGCCTGTGGTCCCAGGCTCACCTATACTGGAACCTCCTGGGGTTCCGCCGTCTGTCCCTGCTGTTATGGTAGTGGGGACATGCGTAGCCTTGGCGACAGAGGCGTGGCGGCTTCGGGCACTGCTCGGTCTTGTAGCTGCCCAGCACAAAGTTGGTGTCTGAAAAACAGAGATCCACATGGAAGCGAATACATGCACGCTCACAGTGCGCGTGCTCACAGCTCACAGTCATAGAGCCAAAGGGAGAAGCAACCCAAGTATCCGTCCACAGATGAAGGAATAAACACAATGTGGTCCATCCACACAGGGGAGTATGATTCAGCCATAGAAGAGGAATGAAGCACCGCCCTGGCCGGTTTGGCTCAGCGGTTAGAGCGTCGGCCCATGGACCAGAGTCCTGGGTTTGGTTCCTGCTAAGGGCAGGTACCTCGGTTGTGGTTTGTCCCAGTTGGGGTCGTGTGGGTGGCAACCACGTGGTGTATTTCTCTCGCATCGCTGTTTCTCTCTCTCTCTTCCTCCCTCTCTCCTTCCCACTGAGATAAATGCAAAAAATTGTCCTTGGGTGAGGATTAAAAAAAAGGAATGAAGCAGTGTGGGTGAGCCTCAAAAACATGGGGCTCAGTGGAAGAGGCCAGACACAAAACACCACGTACTGTGTGTGACTCCATTTCTATGAAACGCGGAGACTAGGCAAATCCACAGACAGAAAGTAGGCTAGCGCTTGCCAGGGGCTGGGGGAGGGAGTCCCGGGAGTGCCTGATGATGGGTATGGGGCTTCTTTGGGGAAACTAGATCGAGTTTTATTTTTACTTTTTATTTTTAAAAAATATGTTTTCATTGATTTTTAGAGAGGAAGGGGAGGGGGGACAAACATCCACAAAAGAGAAACACCAATCAGCTAATTCCTGCATGCCCCCGACTGGGGATCGAGCCCGAAACCCAGGCATGTGCCCTGATGGGGAATCGAACCAGCAACCTCTCAGTGTACGGGACAGCACTCAACCAACTGAGCCACACAGGCCAGGGCTAGATTGAGTTTTAGAACTAGATAAAGGTGGTAGTTGCACAACGTTTGAATATACTAAAAATCACTGAAACGCACACTTTAAAATGATTCATTTTAATCCTCACATAAACAATGGACTTTGGGTGATAACATGTTGGTGTAGATTCAAGTGTCCCGCTGTGGTGGGGACATTGGGTATATGGGGGCACAGAGTATATGGGGGCTCGCTGTTCTTTCCACTCAAGTGAAACCTAAAACTCCCCTAAAAACAAAAGTCTATTTTAAAAATGATTAATTTCATGTATCTAGATTTTTTTTTTTTTTTTTGGGGTACGTGCCTCTAGCGGGAACCAAACCCAGGACTCTCTGGTCCACAGGCCAACGCTCCAACTGCTGAGCCAAACCAGCCAGGGCTCTAAATTTTTTTATCCTCACCCAAGGACATTTTTCCATTCAAGTAGAGTGGGAGGGAGAGAAAGGAACAGAGAGAGAGAAAAAAACATCGACATGAAATGGACACATCGAGTGGCTGCCACCTGCACGACCAACCAGGGCCGGGGACAAACTGTAACCGAGGTACGCGTCCCCAGGTCTCTCTGGACCACAGGCCGACACTCTAACCGCTGAGCCAAACCAGCCACAGCCAGGGCTCTAAATTTTATCTCAAAGCAAAAACACACAAAAAGCCACCAGGGTCATTTAAAAGCAGTAACTCTTATTCACTCTTGGGCTGGTTAATTATTGACACCTTACTACACATGTTGGGCTTTATTTCAGTTACAGTTGAATCCAATATTATTTTATATTAGTGTAAAGCACAGTGGTTAGATTAGAATTTATGAAGTGATCCCCTTGATAAGTCTAGTGCCTACTGACACCATACAGTTATTATAACACTACTGACTATACTCCCTATGCTGTACTTAACATCCTCATAACTATTTGTTTTGTTTTTTTAACCCTCACCCGAGGATATCTTTCTCTTTCTCTTCAGATAGGGTGGGAGGGAAAGAGAGAAACATCGAGGTGAGAGATACACATTGACTGGTTGCCTCCCACACGACCCCGACCAGGGTTGGGGACTAACCGCAACCAAGGTACATACCCTAGACTGGAATCGAACCCGCAACTCACTGGTCCACAGGCCGACGCTCTACCGCTGAGCCAAACTGGTCAGGGCTCCTCATGACTATTTTGTAACTACCAATCTGTATTTCTTAATGTGCTGTTGTTTAGAAACACATCTGCTCAGTGGGCTAAACATCATGACTAAAGCCCTGGCGGGAGGGAGGCTGGGAGGGGAGTGCTTGCCCCACAGTGTAGGCGAGAGCAGGCGACACTACGCACAGGGCACGTTACATGACCATACCGTCGTCCGTCCACGCCAAATCCAACTTCAGATAACTTCTTACATGACCAGTGATGCTAGCCACACAGCAAGGCAAAGAGGGAACGTAAAGTGTTTGGGCAACAAGAAAGCCGATTGTAAGAAAATAAAAATGGAAAGACGTTTATTCACAAGTAACGACCAAGTGACTGGAACAAGTACGAGGTCCTGTGCTAAGTGACAGGAAATGCACAGAAATGAGCTGCATGACGACCACCGTGAGACACAGAGGCTCACAGATGTCCTTCAGGAGGTGAATGGATAAATAAACCGAGGTCCATTCACACAAGGGACTATTACTCGGTGATAAAAAGAAATGAGCTATCAAGCTATGAGAAGACAGGGGGGAACCTTGACTTCACACTACTAAGTGAAAGAAGTCAGTCTGAAAAGGCTCCGCCCTGGATGATCCCAGCTCTAGGACATTCTGGGAAAGGCAACACTAGGGAGACAATACAGTGGAATAAGAGATCGGTGGTCTCCCGGGGGTGGGGGACGGAGGATGAGCAGGCGAACACAGAGACTTTTAGGGCGGTGATACTACTGTGATGCTACAATGACAGATAAACGTCATTATTCATTTGTCCAAACCCAGAGAATGCACAGCACCAGGCATTAACCCTAAAGTAAACAGTGGAGATTAATAATAACCTGTCAATCTTGGTTCATCAGCTGTGACAAATGTACATCAATGCCAGACGCTCAAAATGAGGGAACTGCAAGGGGGCACGTGGAAACTCTGTGCTATCCATGCAAGTGCAATTTTTCTGAAAACCTAAACTTCCCCACAAAATAAATCTACTAGTTAACAATTTAAACCACCACCTATGGGTGAAAAAAGAAAACGTGGACGCGCAGTCTGGAACATCTTCGGAAAAAGAAGGCAGCTTTCGGAGCCGCTGGTGCTACCTACAGCACTCGGGAAAGGGAGCCGGAGCACCTGAACTAGCCGGGCGCTCCTGGCCCAAATCCAAGTGCAGGCCCCAAGGGGGACCCCGCAGGCCCCAGGAAGGCTCGGCCCGCCTGCCCATCACCTCCTCCCACTTTCCTTCCTCACGCTCAGCCCGATGGTGGCGTGGGGACCTTCGCCGACACTCTCTCTGTGAACCCAGCACCGGCTCTAGGGGGGTGAAGGTCAGGGATCTTCCAACCAGGCAGCCCAGGGCTGGAAGAGGAGGAGTGGGACGTTCCCAAAGGCATTGTCAAGGAAAACAAAGGATCCCCAGGGAAGCGCTATCCTCAGTGCTGCCAGCAGGGTGCTGCGGCACACAGCGTTTCCTCCGCGGGGACACTGCCCCAGCAGTGACACGACAGCGTGGGCACAAGCACAAGCAGGTCCCCCTGAAACTTGGAATAAGGTCCCTGGGTCCCCCGCCACATCCCAGACAAGGCCAAAGGTCACAGTCCTCAGTGCAGCTCCAGTTGGGGGCCCAGTCTCGAGTCCCAGGTCTGGCCAGGCAGGTGCACACGAGGTGCCAGGGCCAGAGCTGGAGGCGGGAGGTAGCAGGGGAATCCGGAAAGGCCCGTGCAATCACCTCTGCTGATTCATCCCGGGGACCACAGCCCAGCACAGACATTCTGTGAGCAGGAAAGGCATTTGTAAGAGACCTCACTGCTCAAGGACTGTGGCTGTAAAGCATTGTTTATGTATGTGAAAGTTGGTGACTTAGAAGGATTTTTTTTTTTTATTCCTCACCAGAGTATATTTTTCTATTTATCTTGAAATAGAGTGGGAGGGAGTGGGGGGGGGGGGGAGAAAGAGAAACATTGACATGAAAGGGACACATCGACTGGTTGCCTCTCGCACGACCCCAACCAGGGCTGGGGACAAACCACCATCGAGGTACATGCCCTTGACCGGAATCGAACCTGGGAGTCATTGGTCCGCGGGGCGACACTCTAACCATTGAGCCAAACCGGCCCGGGCTAGAGGGTTTTCTTAAGACTTCACTGCTCTTTGGAATAATCCGGAACAGGAAACCCATAGAGACAGACACAGACTAGTGGGTGCCAGGGACCAGGGGAGGGGCTGCTTAATGGGAAACAGATTTCCATCCAGGGTAATGGAAATGTTCTGAAACTAGATAGTGGTGACGGTCGCACAACATTGGTAATAGACTGATGCCACTGAATTGTTCACTCTAAAATGGTTACAATGACAAATTTATGTTATGTGTATTTTATCACAGTTTTAAAAAAACACAAACCTTCACTACCCCTCGCCATCATCTGTGGAGCTGCCAGGCACAGGGCCCCACAGCCTCAGGGATGTGGCCATATTTCAAACAAGCCCCCAGGGACCTAAGACTGCCGATCTGAAGGCCACACAGAGGCCCACGGGGCAGGCGTGGGAAGTGACGTGAACAGCAGCCCGGCCCTGGAGGGGATGTCTGGAAAGGAGCTGTGCAACCGCCCCCTCCCCCCACCAGAAGGTTCCAAGTAGCCAGGGACCAGATGCCTGGTTTCAGACCCCCTCATTCCCCACACCCCCAGGACAGAGGGTTAAGTACTTAACTCAATGAGCCTCAGTTTCCCCATCTGCTCTATAAATGAGGACAATGAGGTCCACTGTGGGGGTCATTTTACAAACAGCAACGAGGGCTCCCCCTGCCCACCCTCAGTGGCGGCCATGGGGTTACCTTGCCACCGGGGGTCCTCGCCCAGGATCTTCTCAATCATGGCCTGGCTGGCTAAGACCCCAGGCTGCAGATCAGGGATGCCATCCCCACCGCCGAGCTGGCCGTTCTGCAAGGCTTCCTGGGCCTGCAGCTCCCTACGACCAAACAACACATCGATTATGGCTCTGGGGTATGACTAAAGCCCTTCCAGAAGGTGAGAGAATCACCTGGTTCTAGCACTTCAAGGAGCCCCTGCATGTCACTGGAGAGGCTGGCTGCCTGGAGGGCTCAGGACGGGCATCCTGCGTCCCTGGGCACACCCCTATCCTGGGACAACAGTTCTGACCCAAATCCCAGTAACTTCGGAGCTGTGTAAGGATTGGCTCATCTCCCTCACCCCTAGTGAGTTCCCATGTCACACGAGTCAGAAGGAAGGACATTTTCTTGTATTAGAATAAAATCAAAGCCCAGAAAAAGAGCTGCTTAAGACCAGTGGTGCCTGAAACGCTGAGGAGGTGAGCTAGCTCCCCACCTGCCCGGCGCAGGACGCCCCACTCACCTGATGTCGCACACAGGGGGCCGCAGGTCCAGGGGGCCGTGCGCGAAGGCGCAGTGCAGCCCGTTCTTCACGCAGTGGCCCCGGGCATCGGTCTCGTGGATGCACGTGCCTGTCTTGTAGTAGCGCAGGTGGTACTTGCGCTCTGTGTCTCCAGTTGTCCGATGCAGGTACGGACACCTGGGAAGCAGAGGGGTGACACACGCCATCTGGGCCTTAGGACCTGGGCACCTGGGCACAGCCCTCAGTGCCAACCTGCTCCGCTTCTCATTAGCACCTGGCCAGCAGCTGGTTCTATTTTCCTTCACCCAAATATCAGCTCCAACTGAAGGATTCACATCACTGGACCCCTGGACGGAGCACTTGTCCCTGGTTTCCTCCCCCACAGCACTCAGGCCCCCACAAATCCCTCAATTACACATGGTAGAAAAACACAACACTGAATTACCCTGGAAATCGTCCTTTATAATGTTTCGTTTTGTTTTTCCCTTTATTGATTTGAGAGAGAGAGGAAGTGAGAGGGAGAGAGAGATCGAAACATCAATGAGAGAGAACATGGATTGGCTGCCCCTGCATGCCTCCCACTGGGGATCAGACCCACAACCTGGCATGTGTCCTGACCGGGAATCGAACCGGCGATCTCTTGGTGCGTGGGTCGATGCTCAATTGCTGAGCCACACCAGCCAGACCTTTATAATGTTTTTAATAAAATATGGAAAAATAAAGTTCATCTCCAGAACGCAGCCATGTCATTCACATTTCCTGACAAGCATTATCAAATAAAGGGCTGGTGACCCCCCCACTCCCCACCCGGGTAGTTTCAGGGACCTCTTGAAGAAGGGAGGAAGGAGCCTGGGCAGAAACATGGGAGCCTGGCCTGGCTGGAGGAGGACAGGCCAGGGGGGAAGTGACTGGGGGAGGAGGGACAAAGGGCAGTGTCACACAGCTTATGTGCGGCTCAGAGCCCTCACTCCCTGGGAGTCACAGGGGCTTGTGGAGCAGTGACAGGGGCCGGTGCTGCAGGGACGCAGAAGCTGCAGAGGTGGTTGAGAAGCTTTCAGTCCATGTGCAACACGGGGACTGAGCCTGCCTCGAGGTCAGTGTCCCAGACAAGAGACACAGCAGAAGGGGAAGAGATACACGAAGGATTGTATTCAGTAACGTCACCTTGACCCGCCCGAGGGTCAAGGCAGGGGCCAGTTACTGCAAGTCCCCAAATCAAAGACAAGGCCCCTCATCTCCTGTGACGACCAGGAACATCATGTGAGGCTTGGAAAAGGCCCACTCCCACCTTGCTGTCTGGCAGGCTGTGGACTTGGACCTGGATGCAGGGAGGACCTGTGGGTACAGCTCCCCATGCAGAGCACAGATGGGTGGCGCTTTGCCACACGACAAGACCCAAAAGTAAAATTAAAAACAACTTAGTGATCATCTAGTCTAAACCCCTATCTTAGAAGATGAGGAAATGAAGGTTCAGAGTGTAGACAGCTCATCTCAGACCTAACTAAGCCCCTGGGTGGGCAGGGCACAGGGGAGACACAGACACATGGGGCCAGGTAAGTCCCCAGGTCACTGGACCCAACAAAGCAAAAGCCTCTGTGGGCCCAGATACACACCCAGAAGAGCTGGATAAAGGATCTCCAGAGATATTGGTGCACCATGATCATGGCAACAGGATTCACAATAGCTTAAAGCTGGAAATGACACAAATGTCCATCAGCTGATGAACAGGTAAGCAAAATGTGGTCCATCCAGACAATAGAATGTTATTCAGTCATAAAAGGAATAAAGTACTGACATTTGCTACAACGTGGATGAAACCTTGAAAACATCATGCTAAGCGAGAGGTGCCAAACACAAAAGGACAAATATTACATATTCTACTGATAGGAGGTCTTTAGAACAGTCAAATTCATAGAGACAGGAAGCAGAGGAGGTCACGAGGGACAGGAAAAGGGAGAATGGGGAGTGACTCTTTGACGGGGACAGAATTTCTGTTTGTGGTGATGAAAAGAATTTAGAAATAGATGGTGATGATGGTTATACAACATTGTGAATGCAATTAATGCTGCTGAATTGTACACTTAAAAATGGCAAAATTTTGCCCGGCCAGTGTAGCTCAGTGGTTGAGCGTCGACCCCATGCACCAAGAGGTCGCCGGTTCGATTCTCAGTCAGGGCACATGCCCAGGTTGTGGGCCCGATCCCCAGTGGGGGGAATGCAGGAGGTGGCCAATTGATATTGCTATCTCTCTCTCCCTCTCCCTCCTCTCTCTCTAAAATCAGTTCGGGGGGGGAGGGGGGAAGGCAAATTTTTCCCTGGCCAGTGTGGCTCAGTTGGTTGGGTGTCATCCCATGTACCAAGAGGTTGCTGGTTTTATTTCTTGTCAAGGGCAGATGCCTCTGTTTCTGGCTCAGTCCCCGGTAGGCGGCATGCAGGAGGCAGCTGATCAATGTATTGCTCTCATATTGATGTTCTCTCTCCCTCTCCCTTCCTCTCTCTCTCTCTCAAAATAAATTTTAAATCTTCTTTTAAATTTGTTTTTATTGATTTTTTTAGAGAGAGAGGAAGGGAGAGAGAGATGGAAACGTCAACGTGAGGGAGAAACATTGACTGGCTCCCTCCTGCACGTCCCCCATTCGGGATCAAGCCCGCAACTTAGGCATGTGCCCTAACCAGGGATCGAACCAGGACCTCTCAGTCCACGGAACAATGCTCAATCCACTGAGCCACAGCGGCAGGGCTAAAATCTTTTTTAAAAGCCCTGACCAGGCCCTGGCTGGTTTGACTCAGTGGTTAGAGCATCAGCCCACGAACCAAAGAGTCACAGGTTTGATTCCAGTCAAGGACATGTACCTCGGTTGCAGGTTCTACCCCTGGGCCCAGTCAGGGTCGCGTGGGAGGCAACCAACTGATGTGTCTCTCTCACACTGATGTTTCTCTCACCCCCACCCCTCTCTCCCCCGCTCCGTCCCTCCCACTCTCTAGAAATCAGTGGAAAAATATCCTCAGGTGAGGATTAACAACAACAACAAAAGAATTATTACTGTATCACCATATATAGATATGAAAAAGGAGACGTTACGTGGGCATATAACACTCTACATACCCAGAGAGAAGAGAACTGTCTCCTGTATGTTCATGACAAGGGGTTCCAAGAAATGTTTTTGAGAGATATAAATGAAATGATCAAATATTAGGATGTTTACTATATTAAGCATTGAAGTACCCTTGTCTAAAATCCCTAAAATAAAGTTATATTTTACTTTATATATTTACATATACTTTATTTCAAGCTCCGCCAAGCCTTTCCCTGAGTCTTCACACAGTACTGACGTGTAACTCAGTTTACGGCACCCGGGGAGTTGAGGATGTCATGCAGAACCCTCTGCCATGCCAGGGAACCTGATCTCAAACACAGGACCCCTCCCCCTTTTCACATACAAAGAACTTGGAGAAATAAAGAGACCAGGAATTCACAGAACAACAGAGTAGAGAAATAAACGAAGAGTTTACAAGACAGGAAACGCAGATGGATCATGACCACTGAGAGGCACTTATGGAAGGCCGGCCAGCTCCAGGGCAGAACCCCAGCTCAGGGCTGCGGAGAAGCAGACGCTGGAGCCGGCAGGAAGGCAGTGTAGTGACCTTGCTGGAGGGAAATCTGGTGACATGTAACACGACGACAGATGCATTTACTCTCTCACCTAGCAACCCCACTTCCGGAGACCTGCCCCAGAGACAGCTGGCCAAAAGAGAAAAAGACGTCCCCACGACACGATCACTGCAGGACTTTGTCATTGTCAAAGGCTGGAGACAGCCAAAGTCCTGGAATAAACAACAAGGGAGCCCAGTGCAGCTCTGAGGAGTCAGTATGGACAACCAGGAAAGGGGCACCAGGAGGTATCGCGAGGGGGAAACATTAAGAAAAGGGTGATTATATTGGAAGATGAGGAACAAGAATACATATATATCTGTTTATAGTAAAAATTATGGAAGGAGGAGCAACTATTTAATGGAGACGATTCCAGTTTGGACATGGATGGTGGTGATGGCTGCAATGTGCATGGACTTAACACCACTGACCTGTACACCTAAAAAACTAAGATGGTAAGTTTTATATTATGTATGTTTTACCATAATAAAAAATAAAGTCAAACACTTTAAGCTAATAGGAAAGCCACCATTTTACAAAAACAGTTCCAATCTTCAGAACTACTTATGCATCTACTGCAAGTTAACCATAAGAATACCACAGTCTGCCCGGCCGATTTGGCTCAGCCGATGGAGCACTGGCCTGCAGACTAAAGGTCTCGGGTTCAATTCCTAGTCAAGGGCACATACCTGGGTTGCAGGTTGGATCCTCAGCCCTGGTTGGGGTCATGTGGGAAGCAACTGATCGATGTCTCTCTCTCACATCGTTTCTCTCTCTCTCCCTCCCTCTCTTCCATTCTACCTAAAAATCAATGGAAAAATATCCTCGGGTGAGAATTAATGAAAAGTAAATAAAAAAAAGAATTCCACAGTGTGGGGAGGGGACCAGCACGCCGGAGCTGAAGCAGCCACGAAGGTTTCTCTGCAGAACCCACTCTGCACAGCTGTGGCAGGCAAGCAGCGGGCTCCCGATTTCCCTCGTTAAATCTGAACTTTCATTTGTTCCCTAATGGTCCCGCAGGGTAGCCTCTGAGCATCACTTTATTCCTTCCCCAGTACCATCGCCATGGCAGTGACAGTCAGGCCAAGGCTCTCGTTCCCCAGCACTGAGCACCACACAGGCACCACTACTTTTCTTAGAGAATGTCACCTCCTTCATGAGTTAAAACACAAACTGACCTTAAAATACTGGAGAACATTTGATGAGAAGAAACTGGTTTCTTCTGAAGAACACCTATGACGTGAAAGGGAAAACCTCACGAAAACCCAGTGACCAAGCCAGGTCCCCTCCCAGGGTGGGGAAGAGGCTGGAGAGACCCCAAAGGTCAGCCTGACACCACGCGCCGACCTCCTTGCAGAAGTGCAGTCATCCCTCCCTGGGGCCACTGTGGCCCTGCAGCACTCCCCAAATTCAGGGTGACATCCTTGGCTCTCAAACTTGTTCATAACAAGTAGTGACCTGAACAGTGTGATTAAAACAGGGCTCCATGATGGGGTGGTGCAGGAGTACTCGCCGGACCTCAGAC